GTGTGAAGGCACATATTTTCTACATATTAAAAGTATTTATACATAATATATACTTAAGATTTTTTTTCTTGCAGGGGCCGAGGCCCCCTCCAGCCCCTCCCTGTCTCCACCCCTGTAAGACTAGAGAAAACCATCCTCTTTAAGTGCAGTGACAAATTTTGCGAACCAACATCGCGGAGCTTGTTTAAGACCATATAAAGATTTATGAAGGTGACACACCAGAGAGGAATCAGAGGTGGTGTACCCAGGAGGAATGTTCATGTATACCTCTTCATGGAGGTCACCATGAAGAAATGCATTGTGGACATCCATCTGATGAAGTATTCCTGATTCTCAAGATCGTACACATTCCAACCTTTCTTGCCAAAAGTGTTACCCACAAAAATGCATTTTCTACTGCGACTGAGAAATTTGTCATCTTTGGACTTCATATTAAAAGCATAACATAGGCATCCACACACGCGCATGGATTGGTAACTGACGTGCACTTTGTCGTGATGTGCACTCAAAATAATAATACAATACAACACTTATACGTAGTATAGCGTAGTAAGGTTCAATTCGTATCCACAGGAAAAGGAATACTTTTCTTTTTATAGAACTAGTAACAAAATGGGGGGGGGTTTAGTTTGATTTGGTTTAATAAATTAAACACGAAGATGAACAAGTTATGTGGTTTAATTAATGAGAAGAAGACTTGGCTTTGCTTTTATCCACTTAATGAAATGTTCGTCGATCCCGGTTATATCTTTAACTATCTTCCTCTCGAATACTCAATCGAGGAGTATATCCAGTTCATCGAGGGTAGTTATTAATAACGAGACGCGTTCATTAATAAAACTTACTACCGAGTCAATATAGAACAAGCGCCGTATATTAACTTGATAGTAGCAATAAAATCAAGATGAAAACGATTGAGATTGATAACCTCAACACAAGCGGTTTATTGGTTTAATCAATATAATTAATTCCCCTTGGCTTATTAACCATGAGAAGCATGCATTAACAACCCAAGTTTACTACTGTGAAAGGACCGAATTAATAACAAGCGTATTAACCGACCGATTCTAGTAATAATTAATATATGAGACAAAACTAGTTGATCCTTTAAGTAATGTTCAAAATATTAATATGAAATATGAATAGGAATTAATTAATACTCAAGGAAGAATATTAAAGAAGATGAATCCTACTATAGTTAATATCAAGATGTTAACTAATTGTCATTTTAGTAATACTCCCCAATATTAACATAGAGGAAGAAATAGCTATTACTATAACTAATGTCAAGATGTTAACTAATTGTCATCTTAGTAACACTCCCCAACATTGATATAGAAATAGTATTTAAAGGGAGAATTAATATTCAAGGAAGAAGATTAAAGAAAATAACTCACAACTTACAAATTCATTAAGCTTCAAAGTAGCAAAACCAAGATGGAAGAGTTTAGCTCCTCATTTGGAGACTAAACATGAAGAAAATATAAAGAAATAACTTGTCTAAACTGAGCTAAAGAGTATATGTGAATTGGTGATTTTATTGTGAAGGAAAGGGGTGTATTTATAGGCTTTTGGGAGCTGCAGGGTCTGATACCCGACCGGGTATCTCAGGAAATTGCCCAGAAGGTGATTTTTCTGGGCATACCCGATCGGGTAAGGGTATATACCCGATCGGGTATGTGACAAATCTTTATGAAAATTTGCTCCCACGATCATTTGTCTTCGGATTTGATTTGGACAGTCGAATCAAGCAATTACCCGATCGGGTATAGGCATTACCCGACCGGGTACATGAGTATTTTTTCCAAATCGAAATCTTTCTTGTCTCCTTGCACTTTCCTTGATCTTTTAAGGTCCAATCTTGATCCCTTAGATGATCTGTGACCTGTTTAGCTCAGAAAAATCCTAATCTAACTAAATTACAAATAAAAAATGAAAATAAAGTATTACACCAAAAGTGTGTAATTTTCACAACTAGAACTAATAAAAACTAGTTAAAAATACAAATATACAATTGGAAATTACATGAATATCAGTAACTAGGTGGTACACCAAATAAAATTTCATACGGTGTCTTAAAGTTATGTAAAGCAGAAGGAGTCTGGTTAATAAGATGAGAGGTAGTAAGAACACATTCACCCCAAAAAGAAATGGGTAAATGTCCTTGAAATCTCAAAGCACGGGCTACATTTAGAATATGCCTGTGTTTACGCTCAACGCGCCCATTTTGTTGTGGCGTGCCAACACATGATGTCTGAAAAATAATTCCACTAGTCTGGAAAAAATCTTTCAGACAATTAAATTATGTCCCATTGTCACTCCTCACAGCAATAATTTTCTCAGAGAATTGACGTTCCACCATAGCAACAAAAGAAATGAACATTTTAAAAACTTCCTTTTTATCAATAAGCAGGTAAACCCACACGATACGAGAATAATCATCCACAATTGTCAAAAATTGTCTAGCGCCGCACGAAGAAGGGGTATTATATGGACCCCATAAATCATAATGTATCAATTCAAAAATGGCATGCGTTTTATTCAAACTATTAGTAGGAAAAGAATCCCTAGTTTGTTTAGCCTTAAAACAGACATCACAAGGTTAATTTCCAACAACTTTCGCACCACTTACAGGAGCCAAATGTTCAATTACTTGCGAAGATGGATGATGCCCCAACCTTTGACGCCACAAGTCCATAATCAAATTCTTTGATTCTCTTATTGCCAAAATCTGCGCTGAAGGTTTCTCACACAAATAGTACAGTCTATTTCGCTGTTCACCCGTTCCAATCAGCCTCCTTGACAAACAGTCCTGTATAACACACAAGTGACAAATGAATTGGACGAAACAATCTAGCCGGTCACTCATTTGGGATACCGATATAAGATTGCAATTCAGCTCAGGGACATATAGAACATTATTTAAATAAAAATTATCTGACAATATTACTCGCCCTTCCTGAGTGGCCATCACAGTCTGACCATCAGGTAAACCAACGGAGCAAGGCTCAATAGATTTAATCTAACACAAAAATGTCAGATTTCCACACACATGATTAGTAGCACCTGTATCAATAATCCATGCATTTTTATCAAACTTACCAACCATGCGATCATTAGAGTGGGACGAATTACTGTAAACTGATAATAGTGTATTCCACTGCTCAGAAGTAAAACCAGGAAAAGGTGTTGCCTGGACGCCACTACCTTCCCAAATAATTGGAGTTTTATTGATGGGCGCAGTTACTGCAACATGTGCATTGGAAGGGGGTTTGCCTCGTGGCATTCTTGAAATAGCCCCTTTTCCAAGTTGATCCAAAAAAAATGAAGTGCAGTCAATTTTCGCTAGAGTATCTCCGCACGTTGATCCGTCTTCTCCATTCACCATTCTTGCGGAAGCAAGTCACGTTCTCTCTGATACCATGATAGATTTCAGTTTATACGCACAAGTTTAGATATACGAAGGAGAAGAAGCAAGGAATAATTGTCTTATTATTTTATGAAGTATCCGTCGATACTTATACAACCAAGATGCTGGCAATTGCATCAGTCAAGCCTAAAAATAAGGTAAAGGAATTCTAAACAGATATTACCCAATAAATAAAATAATTACAAGACCATAAATAAAATATTCCAAATATAGCAGCCCCAATAGCGTGAACACAAACAAACTGGTCTCACTGGAAAACACTTTAGAACATAGAAATTAGATTCCTTCTAAGGTGTTCAACACAAAAACCATGAATGACATGTGGAAACACTTTAAAAGCAACACTGATTATACCTTTATGACGATCATAAACTATATACATATCCTGACGGAATCTGAGTGAGCCACGCAACTTGGGTAAAAACCAATACTAAGAAGCTTTGCTTTCTGAGCCACAAATACCAAACGATAAAGGAATAATTTGACTGTTCACATCTTGTCCACAACCAGTAAGCAGTGTACCTTTATAACAGGCCTCCATGAAAGAGCCATCCACAACTAATACAGGTCTACAAAACTCCCAAGCTTCAAGCCATGCAACGAGTGAGAAGAAAAAATACTGAAATTCATTAATGTCACCTCTAATATGTGACAATCCAAACATTCATGAATGTTAATGTGTATATATGTATGTGTGTATATATTTTTTATACACACACAAACACAACATAACACAACATTACTAATCATATTTATGCAAACATATTAATAAAACAATAATTTCTATGCTTTCGATTAGTCTCCGCCTAGACGCCTAGGTGCTAAGCGTTGGACTGGATCCCACTAGAACTTTCTAGAACATTGGTCTTGCGCATTGCTCAAAGGCCTTGAGACTTGAATTCATGACTTAAAATAAAATAAAATAAAATGTCTAATTCTATTTTAAAATTTAAAAGTTACGTCTTTTGAAATTAGCTTAATTCTCGTTGAAGCGGTTGAATTAGGTGAATTTACTGACTTATGAAGAAATTGTGTTAAAAATATATTTAATTAATAAAATTAAGATTTTTTTTTAAAAATAGTTAAAATGACCATCTGTAGTAACTTCAACCAATTGAGTCAGAAATTCAACCTTACTTTTTTTTAAATTATTATAAAATTTAACGCGTGTAATCAAATAGTGAAAAATTGACTGATATGACGAATAAGTCAAATAGGGCCACCAAACAGACTATATATCACAAATTTTTTCGGTAAAAATATGATTCACATATTTCCATAATATCTGCCCTTTTATATCTCTATTAAAGTGAAATAAATTAAATAAGAGGTTTTTAAAAAAATATCAATAAAATGATTTTTTATACAAAACTATGATTAAAATTTACGTATAGTAGTGTTATAATCTCTAAATTTATTACTCCGTATTACTAAAGTCACTAAATTTTAGAGGTCAAATTTTACAAATGACTTTTATTTTGGAATATTTATGGAATTTTTTCTTTTCTTTTTCTAATTATTTCATTAAATAATATACGAAGTATATAGTATGGTGTATGGGTACATGAAATCATCCGATTCCTGTCCCCCACCTTACTCATAACTCATGAGTCAGGGCGGTATTAATTTAGGTTTTCCGTTAATCATAATCGAAGTCACAGTCTGAGTTGCAAATTTATTCAGCTAACCATTTTTCATTCCTGATTTCGGAGTTGTTAAGAATGGTACTCTCGCAGAAGCTTCACGAAGCATTCAAGGGAACGGTGGAGAGAATCACTAATCCTCGCACCGTATCTGCTTTCAAAGAGAAAGGCGTCCTCAGCGTCAACGAGTTCATCATCGCCGGCGATAACCTCGTCACCAAATGTCCGACCTGGACTTGGTATTTTTTTCGTATTCTTAATTAATCATGTCGTTGCTAATGAATCATCATCAGCTGTCAGATTTTTAATAAAGCTGTATTCTTTGATCGAATTCGATCTCATAAATGTATACAGTATTTTTTTTTTATCTATGGAAGCAGCAGAATCCCAAGTAGCAAAAAAAAAACTTAAAGTGGAATTTAATAGTTTGCATAGGTTGCTCTTATTCATCAAATTTAAAGATATAAATTTTGATTTCGATTAAGCAGCTATCAGATACTTAAAACTTTAATCTTTAGCATGCCTTTTTTCGTTAATGGGATGGAAGATTTCTACTATCGTGATCATAGTTTTTTATTGTTTTTAGTAGGAAGGTTGTGAATTTTGTTGAAAAGTTCAACTGTGTATACAGTTGTAGCTTTAAATTTTGAGTCTGAGGTCCAAATGACTAAACCTTTGCTGGATGCATGGCTTGGCAATGCAATTTTGATTCTGCACGTTATTGTTTTGAGCAGAACCACAAAGTCTTGAAGTTTTGTGTGTTCCTGTGAAATGGGTCTTTTATAATATATTGTATCAGAGATAGTTACAAGTTATGGTCTTTGGCTTGTCTGTATAATTAGTCTGATATTGCAAAGTTCTCTTTAGATCGTTCTACTACACCACCTTATTTTCTTTATCTTGTTGATAACTGCACACTCATTTACCTACTCTGAAGTCTGAATTGCACTAATATGTGCCAGTTAATTCTTAGTTTAGTTTAAAAATTTACCCTTTTAAAGGATTAGCTGGGGTTGTTTACTCATCTGCTGGGATGTTTTTCCCTAGGACAATTCTTGGTGTACACAAAATGTACAACTCGTGTACACTAAGAATTTTTCTTTTCCCTAAGATAAAAGTCGTGAAACAACTGATGCAGCCTGCAGCCTGCAGCCACATGTAATGATCAATATACTGTTTCTTAGTTTTTAGTTCATCTCACTTGCAGGGAATCGGGTGAGCCTAGCAGGAGAAAGTCATATTTACCCGCTGAAAAGCAATACTTGATCACTCGAAATGGTAATTGGCAACACATTTAATACATTTTAACCATACCCCATTGAGTGTTGTACAACACTCATGACTCATCCATTGATAGTATGAGACGGCCCACTAATGCGATTGATAGTATCATATACAAATGTAATAGTAGCATTGACAATGCTCTATGCCATAACAAATTCATATTTTTCACTTCAATTTGTAATGGCATTATGCTTACACTGGGATTTTTTCCCTTCAAATTTTTGCTTTTCACCACTTTTCATACTCCTTATATACTAGCCAAGTAGATATAAAGTGAAACATATAAGAGGAGATGGTAATTTTTATTTTTTATCTTATTGTATTTCTCAAAAGCCATAACTTACAGTCCAATGGAGATAAGGGTTTTTAATTTATAAGATCACAAGCAAATTTTATCTGTTCATAGTTCCTTGCCTGCGGAGAGCCGCATCAGTTGAGGAAGAATATGAAGCTGCTGGAGGTGAAGTTCTCCTTGAAAATGAGGATAATGATGGTTGGCTTGCAACACATGGAAAACCCAAAGGTATACCACATACTGCTTATATTTCGGTGCAGGCCCGTCATTTGTTTCAGTCTGACATCTTGTATATATAACAGAAAACAAAACCGTGGAGGACGACAACCTGCCCTCAATAGAGACTATAGAAATAAGTAAGAAGAACACGTTTCAATCAATTTCTTCATATTTTGGAGGCGAGGAGGAGGAAGATATACCTGACATGGGAGAGTTTGAGGATGCTGACAATCTTGTTGAATCAGATCCCGTAAGAAACTGTTATATCCCCTTCATTGGGCTTTTGAACTGTTATGGAGGAAAAAAAGGTTATTTGTTTATATATTGTAACTGTTATGATGCATGACAATCCGAAGCATTTTTAATAGATGCAACCTTGCTAAGAACTTATATTGATAATTAACGCATATGGTCTCTCACAGGTTACACTCCAAAATACATATCTTGTAGCCAATGAGCCTGATGATGATAATATATTAAGAACTCGGACGTATGATCTCAGCATCACGTAAGTCAAGTTTAATGGAGGGTTATTAATAGGTTTATACTGCTATCTCATGTTGAAAAGCGCTGCCATTTAGATGTTTTTACACACATCTCTCAACCCTTCCTGTCCATATTATTCACGTTTTGCATATTATTTAGGTACGACAAGTACTATCAAACCCCTCGGGTTTGGCTAACCGGATATGATGAGGTAAGTTTTAGCATCTTTTGCTGGTGGAACTTGATTTGTATGCAGTATGTGATAAATAATGTAACTCATTATTTTATAGTTTAAAGTAGAGTCTAACCTATATAGTTGATATCAGTTCTTTTAGTGCAATTCAATAAATTTGGCCTTTCACTATTATCTTTTTATTTGATCCATCACAATAAATAATACCACCGTCAAGAAATAGTCATACTTCAACAAAAGAAGCTAGTTTTTTATTTTATTTAGTCTAACCCCCAAATGTAACAACCAAATTAAGTTTAAACATTTAGCTGAAAATAACAAATTTTAGAAACATTAGTCTCGTAATTAAGTATTGTTTCACACTTTAACATAAATAAGACGTTTAACCTTGACGAAACAAGACTGCTATGTTTTCTTTAGACATATAGACTAATGCAGTGTAAATTCATGCATGTGATTGTTTTATAAAGCTAGTCAATATGCTGACACAATATAATGATATGGATTTGGTTTCTATGGCAGTCAAGGATGTTACTACAACCGGAACTTGTTCTTGAAGATGTTAGCCAAGACCATGCACGCAAAACGGTGAGGAATGATTGCTAGCTGCTTTTGTTATCGTACACATGCTTAGTAAAGCATATCACTTGACATAGGATTTGTTTTAGATTGAACCTTTTCGAAATCTTTATTTTTTGTCTCAAAACATTGGATGTGAATACTTTACTTTTTTGCTTTATGATGCTACTTTATTCAGTTCATTGCAGAGTACATCTTTTTACTAAAAACATTTCTAAGCGCAGGTGACTATTGAGGATCATCCCCATTTGTCTGGGAAACATGCTTCTATACATCCTTGTCGACATGGAGCTGTTATGAAGAAAATTATTGATGTTCTGATGTCAAGGGGAGTTGAACCTGAAGTTGACAAGTAATTACATTTTTATTTATTATTCAGGGCATAGGACTTTACTATTTCAAGTTGGTTTCTCCTTTCCTAAAACCAGGGTTGCCATAGATTAATAGCTAGTATCATCTTATCTGATTACTCTTGGAAAATAATCATATAAGACGAATTAATTTGTATATACGTGCTTTCCCTTCTCTGAAATAAACCTACATTCCCTTTTTGGTGGTAAAGTTGGCAATGTACACAAATTACATCCATGCCATTAAAGCAATTCACTTTTATTATTATTATTATTATCTAAGGCATGTGATATTAACCAATTTAAGTTGGTTTCTCCTTTTTTAAAATCAGGGTTTTCATAATATCATGCTTTTAGTTTAGGTTATTACTTACAAATAGAATACATACTAAAAGAATCATAGAAGATGAATTTATTTGTATAAATGCATTTCCCTTCTGGATTGAATCTCCTCAACGCATTATGGTGTCAAAGTCAGTGATTTCACTTGTTTCAGAGGAGGGGTGGAGTGACGTGATGCGTCACAAACATATGCGGGCGAGGGCCTCCAATTTCTATATTTTTCTTTGCAAGATCATCAATTCTCTGTGACGTTTAACAAATTGACATCTGTCTCCAACCGGCTTTCGCTAATTTTTCATGTTCAGATGTTAGATGTTGCACTTTGTGTGCATATTGAGTTAATTGATTTTACTCCTGTATTCCTATTCTAGTTTAAATAATCACAATGGATATCTAAAATAATATTTTCAGGTACCTATTCTTATTCTTGAAATTTATGGCCTCTGTGATTCCAACAATTGAATATGATTACACCATGGACTTTGATCTTGGCAGTTCTAGCTCCTGATTGACAAGTAATTTCTTGACCTTATTATCCTTCGTATGAATTGAATGTCTATGGCATCAACTATATTCTCAACGTTCCATCATATATCTGAAGATTTATATGTTTGTATATAATTTGGTTCAAATAAAAAGATCATCTTAGGTGAAAAATGAGAACTAATCTTGACCATTGATGTCACAATATAGATAGACGAAATCAATTTTTTAAGTTCAAAACGCGGTGGCATTATTGTAATTTTGAAGAACTTTTAATAAAAAAATCACTGATAAGAGTGTATCGGTATAGAATAAATGCATTTGTACAACTGAAAAGTGCTAATATGTATATGAAAATAAATTGTATACAATTATAAAATTCTGATAAGAAATTTAAACACGTATGGATATATGTTTACACATACACTAGAATAAAAAGTTGCACAGTAAGCTTCCAAATATTTACAACTTCGTCTCCGTGTTTATGATGTGAAATTGATATAATCCATTCATTTTAAAGCATGAAACATCTAAATATATTCTCATTTTTCTTGGGAAGGCTTCTTTTCGTACCCAACCTTGTATATAATCTGCAATTCATGAATGGATTGGTTAAATAGCTGAGCATTTTTTAAACTTCCCATTGTTTATATGAAATCCTGCATTACTCTTAATGTTGCCTTTGCATTTTTCCTTTTAAGCAGATCAATAGTTGCATATATAGAATGAAACTGGAATTGCTGGTTGTGGTGCACTCTCCATTAATATATCGCCAAGGGGCACACTTGTATTCTTGTTGTAAAAAGCATTCACAAGACGTTTGCTTAGGAAGGAAAGGAGAAATAGTTTGAACAACAATTCTCATTGATGTCTGTAAATTTCAGTGTTAGCAGTTTGATATTTGTTGTTAGAGCTCTTTACAACATCTTTCCTGTTCTCTTTAACACACTTGAACTAAACCAAGAGTATTGGTGTATTACACGAGACTACAAGTAGGGGCAAACCTGCAGCGCTTGTGGTTTCTGCCCCCCCCCCCTCCCCCCCAGAACTGAAGCCATGACTGTGGATATTGCGTATGGTTCCCGGCTCGTTCCTGGCAGCCCAGTTCTGTCTTTTAATTTGTTTTAAAGCCAGTACTATGTTACTCCGTATTACTTGTACAATGTTTTATATTCTATCATTCTATGGGTTGCGTCATAAATTAAAGATGGGCTGATCCGTTGCTTGGCATTGGAGGGGGTGCTTTTGGTTAATGGAGGGAGAGCCTTCTCTGTTGGTGAAATACGAATAAGGTTTGAAGCAGAGGCATCACCTTGATTATAAATGAGGTGCCTTTGGCTGTTGCTACTTGCTAGGGAGAGCTCCTTGGCTTGTCCCCGAGCAAGATCCCTCATCCCTAGATGTAATATAGTTATATAGGAGAGAATTTTAGTAGAGATGCTGCTGACTGCTGAGGTTGTGGACGGGTGGCGTAGGTACGAGGTGTTTGGAATCCATTCCGCTTTTGCTTCTGCTTCCTTTTTAAAGTAGAAGCAAGCAAAATCAAAATTAGTTTTCAGAATTTGATTACCCTCAACTTCTAAGGGTAGAAGTAAACTATTCTTACACTTTCACTCAAACACTCCAACTTCTGTTTCTACTACCTGAAAGAGTAGAAATAAGTTTTAATAATCAGATCGGTGATCATGTATGAAGTGACAAGTGAAGTGTAGATGTCTATTATTAGGTTGGGCTGGGCCAGAGCTCTATGTTCTCTTAAGGGAGTGGTCGTGGGTCCAACACTCCAACGGTCCAACCCCATATATCCATTTAAATACTTTTGACAAACAACGTGGTCTCCCACTCCTGTGGTAGTCGAAATGCTTTTATCATTGTCCCATATTGATTAAGGATCTTGAATAAACTAATAGATGTCGATCGATGTTAACCTATTACCTTCATTTCATCACTTGTCCATCATTCAATCCTTTAATTAGTTCATAGCTTTTATATTCTATTTTAAACTACTACATATTATTTAAGTAATACCTTAAACGATTGTTTTTTAAAACCCTTTTAAGAGTGTTTGTGCTTACACAAAGGAAAGAAAACATTGTGTAAAATATAGGGAGAAGGCTCATTAAAGTTATTTACGGAGTGCAGATAGGACATTCAACTTTTAAACGGACCAAATAAACACATGTGACTTCTTTGAGGTACATTTGGCCACTCACTAACGTTTGTCTTCAACGGTACCTCTAAAAGTTTACCATTATTTATCCCTCCTAATTCTTTTAGCCAACCTCTCAAAAAAAAAAATTCTTTTAGCCAAAATAAACAAATAAATAAAAACAGAAGGTGCTCCCACCCATTGAATACTCATATCCATTGACGTTTTTCCCGAATTTCACAAACCCTTGGTAACAGGTGTTGGCATTTTTGCAAAATGATCCAACTCTCAGCTCCCGGCCACTGCTGCGGTTTCAGTAGGAAGTGAATCCTCAAGCTTGGCTCATCAACATCCTGCGCGTGGGTCGAAAACCCTATTTCACATTTTCACCGGCGGCGGATCTGATTCATCTCATAATTCGTGAAATTCTTGAATTAGTCAAACCCCTCTGGCTGACTCATCTAATATTTTGTGAAATTCCTCTCGGCATAGTCAGCAATCATGACAGCATCAGTGTGCTCGTGAGACTCAGATCCAAATTGGGAAGATGCGATTGTTGGGCTTTTGGCCGGTGAGCAAAACTCAGTTAGCTTAGCTGTAAGCGATTTCTGTACTACTAGACTAGAAGAAGATTGAGGGACGACACAAATCTTTGGGTTAAACTTTTGAGACCAGAAATGTTAGTGAGTGCTCAATCCTTAATCTATTCCATTAACTTGAAATGAGGCTTTCATACTATGAGATCAGAAGAAGATTGACGGAAGGCATGAGACCAGAGAAAGATTCATGCGGCCACAACTGATTTATTAATTTACCCATTAACATAATGTTTGCTAAAAACGAAATCAATTTTCTTTTCTTTCATACTTGAATTGCACGACTGACACAGACCTCACAAAGAGAAAGATGATGTGTTCTGGAGAGAGGAGAGGCGTGATATAAAGGTCCGTTAAGCACCGTTAAAATAAAAAGTGTGTGGTGGCCAAATGTTATCCAAATAAGTATTTTAAGTGTTAATTTGGTCCACTTAAAAGCTAAGTGTCCAATATGCACCTTGTACATAACCTTAGTGTCCATTCCGAGCTTTATCCCTAAAATATATTAAGGCTCAATATATTGTCATATGTGCACAATCATATTAAAAAAGCTTGACACCATGATCAAATCCTTCAAAATTAACCAAAGATTGAGGGTTAAAAGCGAAAAGCCCAAAATTTGATGTTTAAGTTGTTTTTGCCCCCAAAAAACTACTTTTGAAAGATGCAGATTCACTTTCAAAAGAAAGAGTAAGACAACATTTTCACATTATTTGATGCTCTGTATTTATAAAATATCCCAATTAATTGCACCAAAATGACTAGCCTATCACCCTATATTCTACGGAGTATTTATTTCACTTTCGGTGGTACTTTTATTTAATTTACTAGTCTGTAGACTGTAGTAGCTGGAAGAAAAGAATGAGTAAGAACTAGTCCTAACGACCCAGCTCCAAAGCAGCGGCAAACAAGCCAAAAAATAGGGAAACACTTCCACGTACATGCATATATAAACAAAAATGTGTTCTCCTACTAATTCAACTAAATCACTATTGTAATATTGTCCCAAAATATATTACAACAGCTGAAACGAGTGAAAGCAATGTCAATTCGCCATTTCCTATTCTCTATTGCTTTTATTAGTTTCTTATCCTCATCCGACGCTGGAGACTTGTCAGTATGTTTCATTGAATCTTACATTCTCCTTTATTCCAAAATATGGTTGTTGTTTTTTCTTCCTTTTGATTTATTTATGTCAAAGTCTAGAATGGATCATATCAAACTAATGTAGACTTTAAAGATCGGATCAGATTTAATCAGATATAGCCATATAAGGCCTATTTGTAATCATGTTTTCGGTTTATGAATTTAATCATACATTTTTTCTATCAAACGCGTAATTTTTGATTTCGTGCACTCAATTCTATAATAATCCAAATAAGTAAGGTTAGAGTTAATCACTTTAGCTATTTTGGATATAATTTATTTTTTTAACAAAATATATTTTAAATATAATTTTCCCATAATATATAATCACTTTTAGCCCATTGAACTATATCAGCCAGAACTTTATTAATTTCAGTAGAATCGGTCAATCCAGTTTTACTAAACGGACTCATAACAAACCAGACTAATACTCCATACTAATATATATATTTGAAATATATTATATTATAAACAGAAGAGATATTATTACTATTGTTATTGTTACTCAATAGTATTTTACACAAGTTGACTTGTGTACATCAAGTTTTAGGGGGTGTCCCAACCTCAACTAGGAGTTAAAATGAATTTTAAAAGATCAATGAATTTTGAAATCCGAGGGATTCTTGAAGAACTGTGATGGAATGTTTTTGAATATAGACATCCATCAAAATCCATCCAAATAAGTAGTAATAGAAATTCATGAAATGTTTGAGGACACCCTTATTTTAATGAATTCCACAAAAATTGAAATCAGGGACACCTGAATTCTGACAGATTTCTAAACTCCATTAAAATTCTCTACAATCCAAATGGGAGACACCCTCTTAGTGACCATCAAACAAGCTAGCTATTTGATTTTATTTATTTATTTATTTAATCAGTTACATTTTCCTACCATTTGTCACCTTTATTATGGAACATTTTTGAATTTGCTTGAGACAGTCCAAACATACAAAATTGGCCTGCCCTGATTGTATATATTGCAGGATGAGTGTGTGTACAGCCTATACGTACAAACCGGAACATACATAACGGCCGGGACCGACTCAAAAGTCGGCGTCACATTGGGCGACAGGACCGGAAAGGAAGTACAGGTGCCGGAGCTCCGGCGGTGGGGCTTAATGGGACGGGATCACGACTACTTTGAGGGTGGTAATCTGGATATCTTCTCCGGCAGAGGCCCCTGTCTCCGGCTGCCGGTGTGCAGGCTTAACGTCACCTCCGACGGGTCCGGCCACCGCCCTGGATGGTACTGCCAGTTTATTGAGGTGACTTTCACCGGGCCTCGCAAGGAATGTAGCCAGTCCACCTTTTACGTCGACCAGTGGCTCGTCGCCGGTGACTTAACGGCCATTCTTGATGGATGTGGCCGGCGGGATGTTACTTCCACGCCTCTAGTTGTGCGGAAGCCCATCTATATTGGCTCTGCAGCCTCTGCTTTTCAGTGATATATGTAATTACGGAGTTTGTATTTAGTAATTACCCTATATAGGAGCAAAACAATAAAGAAGTTCCAATTTAGGATTTAGTGTTGATTTATTCCCTAAATGGGAGTTTTTAAATTTTAAGTTGACTATCGGTTGTCTAAATTGATTGGTACCAGATTTACCCTTTCCATTTAATAATTACAGAGTATATCTTTCTTAAATAGCTGTCCCGCACTACGATCGAGTTTCTCCTCTCTTATCTATTCCTTCCTCCAGTACCTGTCATATCTCCTCTTTCTCTCTACATATGTACGGAGCTTTTTAATTCCCATTATTTCCCATGGATTTCAAAACACATGCGATACTCCCATCTCAATCTGGATTCTGGCGAAACTCTTGTCTCTTGATTTCTTCTGTCAATTGCCGATTTCTCTTCTGCACCGTGAGCTGTTTTCACTTTTTGAGTTGTCGCAATTGAATCATCATAGAGGAGTCCCATAAAGAGGTTGAATCAATAAGGCAGTTGTTCCCGTTCCCTCCGGCCATGTGCCGTAACTCCAGTGATATACCGGTCTTCTCCGGCAAGTATTCTCCTCCTCCACCTTCTTCCTCATCCTCTCTTCTTCTTTTCTATTTTCTTTTGGTTTTTTCCCCTACGTTCTATTGTTTCATTTTTTTAGCATTGAGATTTAAAATGAAAATTTCTATTTTAGATCTGTAATTTTTGTTGGAAAATTATTTAGTATTTCAAATAAACAAAATAAGTTTTAAATGGTTTTATATATAATATATTTAATAAATATATTGAACTATTATGTACGGATATCTTTTGAATAATTAAACCAGATATGTCTTTCAAATAATTCATTGACCGAG